AATCACAAGACATAAAGCGGGGTGATGTACTGAGCAATTATTGGGTACGTGACTCCCGATGACCTCTGAAGGAGACAGGCTTTTGAATTATCCAACGGCTAGAATGAAGACGCTTTGGCCAGGGCCACGAAGAATTAAGAAGTAGACGCGATCGCTAATACAAGAACATTATCAGAAACAGCGTCAGATACGGGGCAGTCTGGCGAACTAACAGAGCAAACAGATAGTATTAGCGGTAAAGACAAGGGAGACTAGAATGGCCATTTCTGGCTTAATAGCCGTCGTCAGCCAGTCGTACCTAGACCCAAGTGGCTGACGACGGCTTATAAACCAGAAATGGCCATTTCAGTTTCCCTTGTCTTTGTTGGTAATACTTTCTGCCTATACTGCCAGCTGCTTAGGCTGTCAGAGCTTCTCTCGAGACCCCAGGTAGAGCGGGACAGATGAGTGCCTTTAGCGGTCGGGTGAACGTTCATCAATGAATATCTGCTAGTTTCTTGTTCGGTCTTGTAAAGGGGTCCTTCGTTGGTATATGGCTGAGACATGCGCAGATGAAGGTAATACTATTCCCTTACACTACCAGCTGCCACGGCTGTCAGAGCCTCTGTCGAGACCCCAGGCAGAGCGGGACAGATGAGTTCTGTTAGCGGTCGGGTGAACGTTCATCAATGAGTAACACAGCAAAGTCTGACCGCTACCCGTTTTAGGGAGATTTTAAACGCGACAAAGTGCTTATTCATGAATGAAAGAGACCGCAACTTCTTCAAATTGAGTACCTTATTTTTCGACCCCTGCCTGATCGTCATGCAACAGCGGGAAACGTTGATATCCTACTGCAATCTGGGACAGTTTCGAGTTGGACTGATTTCTAACGGTGGCGAAGACAACGTCCCCGAGAAAAAGGCCCCGCATAGTCGTTCATACAATAGTATAAAATTAAGAACTTGTATGATAGGACTGACTTACGAGTACAGCACCTTTTAGAAACTAACGCAAACTATATATAATAAACTTTATCTATTTACCGTGCATAAATTGGCGAGCTGATGATGAATGGGGTTGCGATGGAAGCCGGGAGTTGCTAGTCGGCGGTGCATGAGGTAAGACTTCAACAAATTCACATAGCTAAAAGAAGAGGAAGAGACAAAGTATGAGCATGACTTTAGAAGAATCACGTAACAGGCATTGAATAATCTAAACTTATCCATAGTCAAATGCAGACGACCGCTTAGTCTTTGTTGTACTAGGTAAGTTCTTGAATAGGCACACATATAAAATGCTGCAAGTTAACATAAACGTTATAAGGATTAAATAAAATAGCTTGCCTCGTCCGAGAAGTGATAAGATACGAGAATTCGAAACACCCTGTAATACAAGTGATCTTACTTTAAAGTTCGGGGAAATTGGGGTTACCGTTAAGGTTAGAACTAAGGTTAGATGCCCTTTTCTTGAGAAGTTGGTCCCCTCCGTAGGACACGGGTGGTTGGAGTACGGAGACGGTATATGTAGATGAATGAACGAGTAAAGCAGACTGTGACTTAGACTGAATCGACCACAATTCTCCCATCTAATTAGTGATAGAGTACTTACTTGTACTTATTACGCCTACGATCATGGCTTATCTAACCGGCCTCAATTATGTCCCGTACGGTGCTTCTTCACGCGCGAAGATCCGTGACTGATAGTGATAGAGACTATCGAAACGATAGGTGATGAGATAGAGTGCAGTGACTTGCCTGCCACGAAACCTTCTCTGGGTGTGCTACAACGCGGCTAGTTCGGTTCCATTGAACGAACATGCACAACACCGAGTAGGGAGACATGCCGGTCACCCGCATCTGATTTATTCAGCAGGTCGATAGGGTTCGATAGAAAGCAGAGTACAGGTACGCAAAGCCTGTATACCACGGCAGGGATAGAAAATTAATTTAAAAATGCAATTGCTTGCCTAATGCACCACGTAGTTCGCGTCTTTATCAATTTGAATGCCATGCAATCTTCCGAAAGGCCGCGAAGGCATTTGGTTTTGGGGGAGGTCGAATATTCTGACGGTAGCTCGAGACCCAGATACGCGGAGAGAGGCACCCACTTTTCTTCAAGCCAGGTTAATGTTCTGTCTAGCTCGCTGAACCATCTAGCGCAGTCTGGATAATTGTCGTCTAAGTACTGAAAGGCAGAAAGAGGACAGGTTACGTAAGGCAAAAAGCGCAGGGATGTTGGCAACTAAGGCATGCGTTTTGCGCACCTTCTGAAGAGTCGCCTTATCACGAGTGCGGGGCCACACTAGAAGGGGAAGGCCATGACTGCGAAACGCGGAGACTTCACGTTCTAGGGAGGAGGGGAATGTGGGGATCTTGGCGCTTTCTGGAACCTTCATTTTGAAGGTGACGAAGTCAAGGGTTGTGTCGGAGGCAGATGTTAAAATTTGGTCGGCGGAAGGCTGTGTAAGGAGTTCGGTTTCGCGGAGATGCAGGTGGAGGCGGCTTTGGCCAGAACTGTAAAGTAGCTCACCCTTGGTGAGGGGGCTCAAGACAAAGGCAGCGTCACTGCTGCTCAGTGGAGACAGGGAGAAAAGTTTTGACTGTCTTTGGTGGCAATCGTTCAAAAGGAGTTTGATGGACTCTGTAGGATAGGAAGGAAACGAAGTCAAAAATACCACCAGCAAGTCTAGACAGACGAGCAACAAAACAAAATGTCTCCGTAGTGCCTAGAATATACACGTTAAGCTCCCTAAAACTGTATAACTAGAAATACGTTAATTATATAATGTACTCGAAGAATATTTAAAGAAACTATCTGTAATAGTAAGCAACGAGCAATTACTACTGGTTGCTAGGATTGCGTTTCTATGCAGATTAGGAACGTTCCGAGTGGAGATTATGCAGGATCCTTTAAAATACCAGGGAAATGGGATGTTTTGAAAAGCCTAGCTAACACAATTTCTTTAAGATAGAGGCATAAACGCGATTTTGACTAGAGTGAGATCTTCCCGAGTAAATGAGCTGTACCTAAGTGATAAAGACCCAAACTTCAATGTTAAGTTTATTAATTTCAAATAAGGCGGATGAACTAGTCTGAATAGCTTAGCTGAGGACTTAAGAATAAGGCTTAGCAATCGGGAAACTGCCTACATAGCAGGTGGATGGAGACTGTTTGCTCGATCAGTAAAATACCCATATCCATCGGGCGCAGCGAGTGTCATACACTTTTTAAAATTACGTTGAATTTCATGTAGAATTAATCCACAGAATGTAGCAAAGACGGGTAATCTGCCAGTCGCTCTCACCAGAAAGTAAATACTTAAATTATTTACATTTCAGCTGCAATAAAACAGCTGAACCATGATAGGTACATCTCGTAATAAGAGACTACTATCCACTATCCACCATGCAACAGAAACCGAAAAAAACGAGGTGTCAAATGGCACGCCTGGCGAACGACGGACTTTTTGACAGACCTGATAACTAATTATGTCTAATTGCGTCCTAGAGACGCAAATGAGGAAACTATCAAGCGTGTGTTCAGACGCCTCCACTTTGGTTACTCGTTCAGTCTTACTGCTGGAGAGTCAGGCCGGCGGACAGTGTGCATTAGATTCTTTGAGAAGTCAAGACGAAAGACCCCTAAAAAACAACTCGATGCTTAAAATACCGATTGTCGCTTGGATATCATACTGAGACTGAAGGAAAATTAGCCTTTTGGCGTCCGAAAACACAAAACTACCAAACGCGATCCTTTACCTCGTATAGGTAAGACGATAGTTGTAAAGTAACAAAAATACGTACCTTCATCGTTCTCATCGTACTTGTCACCACCATAATACTTTCCCTGACTCTGCACAGGTGACATTTTTAGTTACAGATAAACGGGCGATGTGAGATTTTAAATTCGTGAGGGATCGTAGACTTCAGGTGAGGTTGAGCAGAGTTGGCTGTAAAGAAAAATCAAAAAGAAACAAAGTCATTAATCACAGGAGTGGCTATTACAAACGTACACTTGCTTTAACGGTCTCTTTCGGGAAAAGTAAGACCCCGAAAGCAGTCCTCCTAAAAGTCAATCAGGAAACGAATCAGTGAAGTCAAACGGACCGTAGTCTAAACGTATTTAGGAGCCCTTAGTAGCAGGTACAGTAGGTAGCATACCCAGGTGCCCCATAATCCAGTACTAACCATCAAATAAGGCATTAGTCGGGACGGAAGTCTCTGTTCCTGTGCAGTCCACTACACTTGGCAATTCCCCTAATAGAGCCGTAAAACCTCCACCCGACAACAATGTACAAGACTACGTTTAGTCCAGCACTGGCAGATCAACGTTACGAGCTTGTCTGCGGTTAGTGGTCAAAGTGGCTGACAGGGCGAATAACTTAGCCTTACTGCCATTTCTTCGCCATTGACGCAAAGCACGCAAACAGACTGTTAAACGCATTGTGTCTGCAGGCACTACTGACTAAAATTGGAAAATCCAGAAAGAAACCTTAAGTGTGAGACCTAAGCTAGGGTGACGCAGTCAAGGTACGCTGATTATCGGCACATTCAGTCAGGGTCGACAGACAGCGAAGGGTCGACGTGTGCGTGCGTATGTACATATAGCATTTACTTATATTGCCTCCTGGGTGCAAAAAATGTAGCATCTTAGACGTCTGGCTATAATTTCATTCAAGAGAGCCGATTCAAGGCGGCGAGCGCAATCGACGTGTGCGTAGGTCAGTGAGGCTTGTGACGCTACCGGCGTAACCAGCGAGAAGGCTCGTAAGTGATGTTTGCCGGTCAGGCACTCGCAAGTAAGTCGATCGCATAAATAGATTGCGACTCACAAAACATAGCTA